TTCAATGAGAAAGCTCAAGATTTTTGCCCTAATTTTGACTGGTGATGATGACGATGAAGATCGATATCGATCGCAAAATCGCAACTACGAAAGTGAGGACCTATCCGCTCCGACGCCGGCGGTCGATTGCTCCGTCCTGGTCCTCAATATGGCCGACTGCCTCTCCTACGTCACCAACAGAAAAAAAAATAATAATAAAAATAAAAATTGTAGTGGTCAACCAGTCGGACATCTGGGAGGATATTGGGGGAACGATCAATAGACTAAAAAATTTGAAAATTGTACGAAAAAGTGAGGTTGTGTTTGGTAGAGCTTTCTAACTATGATTTGAGAATAGAAGTTGTATTTTGAGTTTGTGAGTTTTGGAATTATGATTTGAGTGTGGAAAATTTGTTTGGTGAAAGAGTTTTGAAAAGAGTTTTGAATTGAGTGAGAAATTTTTGATGTGACATTTAATATTTGATACAAAACCTTACAACTCATAACCAAACATACAACTCAAAATTTTATTAAAATACATAATTTTTTTAAAAAAAATTCAGAAAATATTTTTTTCGAATATATAAAAATTAAAATATGTCAATTGTAAAAAATAAAATAAAAAGTGCACTGTTCCGGTCAACAGGCCGGACGACCGGTTAGGCCAAATTAATTTTTTTTTTTTTTGAAAATCGCGCCTCACACACAGAGTTTTCTGCAGAGTTGTGGAAAATTAGTTCCAAAGCTCTATCTAAACATCATATTGGAATGTGGGAATAGAATCAACGTTTGGAAATCGTTCCAAACACAGCCTGAGAGTTTTGCTTGAAAGTTTGTTTTGGAAGTACCTCAGCCAAACATGAAACGGAAATGTATTTTGAAATTTGTGGTGGAATTCATTTTTGAAAATCCCATCCAAATATGTTGCTCACTTGAATGGGTGGAATTGTGATTGGAAAACTAATCCAAACACAGCCTAATTCTTCTGATGTTTTCACCAATAGATTAAAAAGTAAAATATTTTCAACAAAAATCAAAAAATAAAAAATAATTGAAAAAATAAACCGAACATTCTCACCTTGTGAAAAACTAAAATAAAATAAAATATCAAAAAAAAAAAGTTAATTACTTAAAAGTCTTGTTTACAAATATTATGGTAGTTCAGATCCTATTTAAGATTTTTTGAATCAATAAGCCTTATTTAATAAAACTGAGAATATTATCAATTTTTTTTTTCAACTTTTAAAACTAAGAACATTATCAATTTTGCATAGTATAATGTTCTAAATAATTTGTTACCCAAAAGACAACCTAAGATGGGAGGGGGGTGAATTAGGTTTTTATGATTAAAAATTAATAATACCCTAATAAAAATTATGACTAACACAATAGATAAATATAATTAATGAAATAAAAATAATTAAAACAAGTGTCTTAACAACTATGTCAGTTAATGATTTTAACACAGTAAAAATGTGAAATATAGCTATGACAATTTAAAATAAAATAAAGAGATAAGGGAGAGAGAGGTAAACAAATTTATAGTGGTTCGACTTCAACTCGGCCTACGTCCACTCCTCAAACTTTACTTGAGATTTTCCACTATCATCTAGTTTCACAGGGGTGCTAGCAACCTCTTTACAAATGGAGCAATCCTCTATGAATTTTACACAGACTTCACAAGCCCAAACCCTTACAAATCTTAAGTGATTCACAATCACTCTAAAGATTTCAAGAACACAGTGTTTGCAACATTTTTACAAGATGAAATAGTATTTTTGCTTTCAAAGAAAGCTTACAATAAATATCTCTCAAAGATAGATATATAAAATGAAGTTTTGATTTTTCTGTAAATCTCACACATGAAAGATGAGCTTAAAGCTATAAGGCTCAGTGTATAATTTCTGAGAATATATGTGAGTGATTATAGATCAAAGAATATTTTTAGGTTTTTTGTATCTTGTTTCACTACAAGAAAATACACCTTTGGCGACTAAATTTTTAGTCGCCAAAGGTCCGATTTTAGTCGCCAAATCTCAAAATTTCACTTTTCCCGACAAAAAAGTTTAGTCGCCCGTGTTGTCGCCAATAAACGGTCGCGAATGCCTTTGGCGACTAAAACACTGTTAGTCGCTATTATATATGTCTTCAGCGACTAAATATTTCGTCGCCAATAGTCAATTTCTGTATTGGAAATTATACCTTTGCCGACCAAACTTTTAGTCGCCAATAGTTCATTTTTATTTTATTATTAATACCTTTGGCGACCATTCACTTTAGTCGCTGAAAGTATTTTCAGAAAAAAAAAAAATTTCGCCTCCGTTGCTCCCAACAAGTTTCGAACTTGCGACGTCCCTTTCCACACGCCAAACCCTTTGCACAACACTCCCTCCACTATGCCAATACATCATCACATGATCATATATGCAATATATATTATTTATATACTATATTAACCGCAATTAATACAAAATAATATTTATAAATATAATTTTTTTAATTCAATATAATTTTTGTCAAAAAATAAATTATTTAATAAAAAAAAATTAGGCGACTTTTGGCGACTAAAACCATTTTTTAGTCGCTAATTGTATTATTTTGGGCTACTAATTATTTATTTGTCGCTAAAAAAACAAGTTCTCAATTAAAAATCAGCACTTTTGGCGACTAAACAGAAATTTCGTCGCCAAAACCACTACTTTGGGCGACTAAAATGGATTTTCGTCGGCAAAACCTCCACTTTCAGCGACTAAATTGCTTTTAGTCGGCAAAACTGCTATAATCAGCGACTAAACCTGTTTTTAGTCGCCAAAACCCTACCTTTTCGCTACTAAATTATTTTAGTCGCTAAAAACCGTGACAACACTTTTACAAGATGAAATGGTATTTTTGCTTTCAAAGAAAGCTTACAATAAATATCTCTCAAAGATAGATATATAAAATGAAGTTTTGATTTTTCTGTAAATCTCACACATGAAAGATGAGCTTAAAGCTATAAGGCTCAGTGTATAATTTCTGAGAATATATGTGAGTGATTATAGATCAAAGAATATTTTTAGGTTTTTTGTATCTTGTTTACATTAGAGGTTTTGGTATATATAATGAAAATTATAGCCGTTTATAACCGTTGTATTCATTTGAATTTATAGTCGTTTATAGTCGTTGTAGTCATTTGAATTTATGGCCGTTTATAGCTATTGTACTTCCATCATTACCAATTTGAATATCTTCCACTCCATCATTACAAATTTGAATATCTTCCACTTGAACTTTTTGAAACCTTTAGCCTTTTGAACCTTTATAGCCGTTTATAGCCGTTGTACTTCCATCATTACTAATGTGAATGTCTTTCACTTGAACTTTTTGAACCTTTTGGCCTGCTGCTGTGCTAGGCTGTTTGAATCTTTGTTTTGGACTGTTTGAACTCCTGATTTAATCAAATATTAAATACATTCTAACAACATTTAGGATAAATGTTTAGGTGAGAAATAATGGGACAAAATAAATTTTGATTCTATTTCTCTTTCAAATAAATTAAAACATAATTAAATAAATCATCAAAATAAATAAATCTAACATAATTGTTTCACTAATAGATGAAAAAAGCAAAGTACAAGATTAAATGTTTTTACCCTTCTACTTATTGGTTTGATTCAATTATACAATAAAATCGAGAATATTAATAATTTTTTTCTATTTTAAAACTGAGAACATTATTAGTTTATTTATTTATTTTTTCTTTCTCCATTTTTGCACATCAATGTTCAATCACCATGCTCCTTTATAGATACAAAATTTTCAGTTTTATACAAAAAAAAATTCAATTTTTTCCGTTTTTCAATTTTTTTTGGACATAATTTTTAAAAAAAGTTGTTTCAATTTGAAAGTTAATATTTTAAAGTTTTGAAAATTAAAATAAATATGAAATCATCATGTTCCTATATAGATAATCATAATTGATGAATAATTATTATTTGAAAGATAATTCTGACTATTAAAAATTTAATGGGACTTGAAAATTTAAAAAATCTTAATTAGAACTTAATGAAATATAAGTTCATAGAAATTGTATATAAATGCCAAAAAAAGAAAAAAAAAAAGAAAAGAAAAGAAAAAGAAAAAACAAGGGAATCAGTCCAACAGCGGTCCAAGAAAGCATCATAAAGATAAAGAAAGCGAAAAAAAGACGGGTCCATGGCGTGCCTGTATCTCTCTCTCTCTCTGTTCTCTAAGTTACTATTAAAGAGAATATTTGCATAGCAGATGCAAAAACATGCAATTCTCAGCAGACCCACAACTCAAAAACACATCAAAAGCATACTTTTATTTTTAGACAATACACTTGTGTGCCTTTTGAAAAGTTTGTAAAAAATTAATTTTTTTTTGACTTTTTAAATCATATCTATTGAAAATTTTGAATTAAAATTTATTCCAATAGTTATGTTTCTTGTGTCTTTGGAAATGAAATGATGTGCTCTTTTGAAGGGTCATAACTTTTCTAAAGAGTCATGGAGAAATCTATAAATTTCATCTCTCACTTCAATTTGCATATAGAATTGTCATTTTCTTTTTCACTTTACATTTATTCTTCATTTTTTTCTGAGTCTAATTTTTCTATAAAGCGAGTACATGCACAGCGAAGTTCGCTAGACTTGCAATAGTAGTGCTGTTAGTGCAAGACATTGATCGTTATATCTTGGGAGATAGACGTCCATTGAATCCTAAGCACTGATAGGAAGACGAATCTATCTTAAGAAAAAAGTGTCACACACTCGACTCGATCAGGTTTTATTTATTTATATATTGTAAGTTTTGTTACGTTATTATGTTAATTTATTTCAATTTTGATTTTACCCAAAAATCATAAACATATTTTTAAATTATGTACTATTTTTTTCCAACAACATTCACTTTATTTTTTTACACAAAAAAAATTTAAAAAAATTACAAAAAAAATCAAGAAGTGAACATTTTACCAACTGCACCACAGTGGTAAAGTTAGAAACACAATCCATAAACCCCCCTCTCTCTCTCTCTCTCTCTCTCTCTCTCTGACTCTCTTTTCTTTTGTGATTCTTTTAAATTTTATTTTCTTTACGAGCTATTCATATGTACATACATCATTGCATCCTGTAAAATCTCTGATCACTGGTTCCCTTGATGGTCGACACCGTAGTTCCGTTCAATCATTTTCAACACTCGGTAGTCATAATAAAGAGAATAAAAAGATGGGAACAAAGAGAATTAAAAGATAGTGGTTTCAGAGAATTCTCAGATTACCCAGTTTTTGTTGTTGTTGGTGAGTCTTTGTAGTTTTGGGGGTTTCAAGAAATTCTCTCAATTGGGTATTTAAGCACACGCCCATTTCATACTTCTTTTGTGATTTGTGAAGTAATCTCTGGTGGTGCGTTTTTTTAAGGATAAATATTTGTAGTCAGACATAGAGGAAGCAACGAATTTATCGATTACATAATTTTTATTTTTTATTTTTTCTGTTAGAGATATTTCTGTCAAAGGGAGATATTTATAAAAGAAATTCAAAATTCTCTGTTTGGAACTCTGTTTTCTTTTGTATTTCTGCAATTTTAATTTTAGTGTCTTTCAGTTTTAGGAAGCTGATACTACTAGATCAAATTCCACTTCTTCCAAGTTATATTTACAATTGCAATTCATGTTGTTGAGAAATATATATTCACTTTAGGATTTTGGGTTTTTAACTTGAAAACCTTTCCTTTTGTGCATTTGTGAAATTAATTAAATTTGGTTGGAAAGAAAGAAAGAAGATTTTTTAAGTTTCTACTATCAGACCTTCATCTTCTTCAAATTCTACCTTCTTCTGCCATTTGTAGGAAATATAGATTCGTTGCAATTAGGAAATTTTAGGTACTTAACTGTAATCTTTGGGCGTCCACATCCTTGTTTTTGTCTCAAATGCATCTTGACTAAATTGTGTTTTAAATTCTTGTTGATATGGCTGAAATCAGACTTCCAAGGTTAGAGCAGGGTCAAACCAAGATAAAAAATGTTCCAATTGCTGTCACCCCAGAAGGATTCTGGTGCTGCCCTTCTCCTGTTGTGTTTCAAAAGCCCCCCAAGAACCAAAATCCTCTGAACAATCCCAAACCATCCCCACCAATACCCAAGACCTCTTTTCAGAAGAAACAAACCCCATTAACCAAGAAAAAGCCAACATTGATTCCATCCCGACCAGGACTTGTTTCTGATGAACAAAGAAATCCCAGCTCTGATACACCTGTTCTTAATGCACCTGTAGTTAATGAGAGAATGCCACGGCCCAAGGTTGAAAATTTTCCGAGGAAGGTGTCAATTGAGTTTGGTGAACTGGGAACTAGTGATTTGAAGGTAGTTTTGCTTGGCAAGCAGGGCTTTGCCGTGAGGTTGAGTGTGCACAAGAATGTTCTTGTAGAATATAGCAGTTTTTTCGCAGACAGATTGTTGGAGCAGCCGCCTGGTTTACCTGGTCTTGAAATTGATGATTGTGAGGATGTTGAAATATATGTTGAAACTGTGGGACTGATGTATTGCAAAGATTTGAAGCAGCGGTTGATTAAGCAAAACGTTTCACGCGTTCTGCGTATCCTCAAGGTAATTTGGAGAATTATGTAATAGACTTTTCTTTCTTTATTTATTTATTAATTTTTGAGACTAGTATAGATTAACTGCAATTATGCTTTGAAGGTTTGGTTTCAAAGACAGTTTGTATTAATAATGACTGTAATTAATTGGTTTGGTGTTGTTTCATTAATATGGATTTTTGTTAATATACATATCAGCATATGTTTCTTTTGCGAGTATCAGGTAGTTCTGATAATTATATTTCTATAAACGAGTATTTTTTAGCTTTCCAGTCATGGAAACTCAAAACACCCAATTGCACTTATGAATGGGGGATTCTCGTTCCTCTCCCAAGATCTAACTCATTCATGAAGTGTTATAAATTTATAATAGAAACTTCAAACATCCAATCAATATTAAGGCACAAAATTATGTCCCTAACCAATTAAGTTTCCTATGTTCCTTGGAAAACATGGTCAAGATGTGGATTCAATGTCATATTGTAATTTTATAAGAAATTTTTACAATCTCAATAGTAGGAGATAGCTGGCAACACTGTTCCTACAACTATGTTATCTTCTTCTTCTTCTTCTTAGGCCCCACCCTTTCTCCCACTGACTATTAATTAATCCAATTTAGTTTCTTTATGGTATCTTTATGTTGTGTTTGGTTAGGAGATTTGAGGAGGGATTTGGAAAAGAAAAATGAAAAAAGGTAGGTAAAATGTGAATAAAACGTACTTATATTTTACCTAGTTTCACACACCTTTTCCTTTTCCCTTTCCAATTCTCTTCTCAAATTTTCCAACAAAACACAATGTTAGGGTCTGCTGAAAAAAAACAGACCTACATAGCATTTGTTGGGACATATTACCCAAGAAGATATTTATTTCCTTTTATTCCTTTTATGAATACTCTCTTGTTTGCATATGGAAATGGCAATGCAAATGAAGGACTAGGTGCAAACAAATGCATATTCTGGCTAAGTGGTTAAGGATATGTGCAGACGTGCACAAATTATTGCTGTTGTCATGAGTGTGTTTGTGTGTGCGCGCACTGCAAAACATTGCATTCTTGTGATGATTTTACTTGTTTCTTATAGTTATGACAATTGTGTGTGTGGTGAACTTCCATTACATCCAAGTATTACATTCTCATCTCAATGGAACTGTTCTGTAGGTTGCAGAACAGCTTGGGTTCAACTTATGCATAGAGTCATGTTTGGAATACTTGGAAGCAGTCCCTTGGGTTGGTGACGAAGAAGAGGAGAAAGTGGTTTCTTCAGTCCTGCGCCTTCGGGGGGAGGGTATCGGGGTAACCCCAGTATTGAAACGAGTGTCTTCCGATGCTTCAAACCCTCCTAAAGACACAATTTCTCACATATTAGAACTGGTGCTTAAGAGCAATGAGGAGAGAGGCCGACGTGAGATGAAAACTATAGTTCTGAAGCTCCTCAGAGAGAACAACTCTCTTCCGAGTTCATCAGGATTGGCTGACATTTGCAACCAAACAATTTACAGCTCATGCCAAAGCTGCTTGAATTCACTGTTGTCTCTATTTCAACAAGCCGCTGAACCTGAATTTACAGATAAACCCTTGGATGGCAAAGAACCTGTGATGAAGCAGATGGCTCTAGAGGCTGATAACCTCTCGTGGTTGCTTGACATATTAGCTGACAGGCAAGCAGCAGATGAGTTTGCAGTAATGTGGGCTAGCCAGCAAGAGTTGGCATTACTTCATCCAAAGCTTCCAATCGTACCTCGCCACCACGTTAGCTGCATTACGGCGAGACTGTTCATCGGAATAGGAAGAGGGGAGCTTCTGCCGTCAAAGGATACTCGTCATTTGTTGTTAAAAACGTGGTTACAGCCGTTAATCAATGATTACAGCTGGTTACAACACGGGTGTAGGTCATTTGACCGGAAGGTTGTGGAGGAAGGAATTGGTAGGACGATCCTCACACTGCCTATGGAGGATCAGCAGAGCATCTTGCTTGGTTGGTTGGGGAGTTTTTTAAAGGCTGGCGATAATTGCCCTAATCTTCAACGAGCGTTTGAGGTCTGGTGGCGGAGGACTTTCGTCAGACCTTATGTTGACCAAGGGAATATGCTTTTGTCAGAGAGCTCGATGGCATTGAGAGAGTAGGCTAATAAAAGTACTAATGTGTCGGTGAGGGAAGTATTTGATGAAGTGCATTAGAACTTGAAAGGAAATTGGGGAGGACTAAGATTAAGCTGGCCATTCTGATTGAAGTTAAAAGCGTGAAATTTCTCTATGGGAATGTAACGTGAGGTGTGAGTAGAGTAGGATTCTTTTCTTTTTTTTTTAAATATTGCTGAATGCTGGTTGAATGCTTGATGTGGTGGAGATTTGTGATAGGAATGTAATATCAAGATCTTACTTTGCTTACGTGAAGTTCATTTTGGTTCATAGATGTATCAGTATAATTTAGAGACAGTTCATGTCTCCTAATTGAAATTAAGTTATGTGTCAAGTAGTTTGTTCCTGATTTTTGTGATAAATACGGGGATGTAAAAACTATCTGAATTTCTGTTTCCTGCATCATGCTCAACTGGGTAGAAGGTCGATACTTCCTAAATTCCAACTGAGAAATGAAATTTACAAAATTCCCAAGTTATGTATAGAATATCTTTATTTATTTATTTATTACAATTTAAAAGAAAATAACATAAGATGGAAGAAAAACAGAGAAATTAACCGGCTACTTGACTTTCAGTATCTAAATCAGAAACTAGCCAATGCAACAACCCTGTGAGTGTGAGCCACTATGTTTGCTGATATCTTCACAAACCAAAGTGAAATTGGGTCAAGTTTAGAACTCGGACTCAATTGGGTTACTCATGGTGGCATGACTCGATTAGGTGAGATCCAAATATCAGTAATAGATTATATATCAAGATATGAGATAAATATGGATCAAACTACACTTATAAATAAATATGGGCTAAACCATCGGTGATTGATGATATCAAAATGTATTCATTTTAAAATACCAAAAAAAAACCATCGGTGATTGATGATATCAAAATGTATTCATTTTAAAATACCAAAAAAATATATACCGTAAGGTATAGTTCAAATCAAGAAAACAAATTAATTAATCGACAAAATTAATTAATGAAATGTTCTAGCAGTGTGAAGTAAACAAATCTATTTGTTTCTTGCTACCAAAATATTTATCAACTGCTCCCGATTGAGATTGAATTAATTATTCTACTCGCAGGTTCTTCTTTCTCTTTTCATTTCCAGAACTATATTTACTAGGAAATGTGACTATAATTACAATTCAACCCACAAATCACAATCCACTGATTATTTCATATTTGATAGTAAAGAAAATATAAAAAATAATTTAATGAAACAAAACTAGGGCAAAAAAATTAGGAAAAAAATATTTATTCCACTAAAATCTGATAAATAAAGAAAGTGAAAAAAATTAGGACAAATTTATTATTCTACTAAAATTTGATAAAGAAAGAAAGAATAGATTGAAAGCACTGAACAATGTATAGTATGTATTGTTCTTCTTGGGTCCAAACATTTTTTTTTTGTATATATTTTCATTTTAATAAATATGGATCAAACTACACTTATAAATAAATATGGGTTAAACCATACTTATAAATAAACATTGCCCAATAAAATATTTTAGGGCATTTTAAATTGGTCCTAAAAAAAAAATAAAAAAATTGGGCCTATAACATTTTACTAAATTTGGGGGCCCTATTTTTGGGCCAAAATTTTGGGGCCTAAGGCACAGGTCTTACTGGTTTTAGGCTAGGGTCGGTCCTGAAAACGGTGGTGGAAGAAGCACATGAGGTTGTGGTTCAATTCGGGTGTGGATTCGCTTGGTAGTTGAGAGTATTCTTGTGTAATTCTTGTTTTTGTCTTCTTAGTGAATTATTTTGTGGCTTTGGCCGGTGATTTTTTATCACAATTGGAGGTGCTCCAATTGTGATTTTTTCTAAGTTAAATCGTTGTGCCAATTTGTCTTGATTGTTTGATTAAAATTGTTATTCACTGTTTTAAATTAAAACATAATCACAAATTAATATTTAAGAAGTTATTTAGATTTTTCTAGATTCTTCTAAGTGAGTAAGTGAATATGAATAAGGATAGTGAATATCAATAAATAAATTTACAATAATAAATTTATCAATCAGAATTTAGAGGTAAATAAATTTGATTAATAAAACCGGCCCCTAAATGCCCCTAGTAAATAACTGTCCTTGACCCAACCAAAAAAACAAAAAAGGCAACGGTATCCTTGGACTGAAGGAGTTTGGTAAGAAAGCCTTATTTGTCGGGTACATATGGAAATCTCGAAATCCATGGGTTTTTTGTGAAGCAAAAGCCCAATTGAATTGGAGCCCAATCCAACAAGCTACGACGAGTGCTGAAGAATACATTTATACCCTTGGGGAATGGGATTATTGGATACAATTCCATTCAATAATCCAGTGGCATAAAAAAAATGGTATAGTTTGCCTCCAATAAGTAATCTAATTAGAAATATATTATTAGGTCTTAGTGGATCTGCTCTCAGCCGAATTTGATAATCTGAACTGTTCATTCTATAGGCCTATTAAGTAAAATTAAATAGATTGAATATTATTAACCATTTATCAAATCACATTCATTTTAAAAAACTGAACAAAAACCATAATCAAGAACCAATTTACAAGGAAATATTTTTAAGGTTTCTATGGGACTCTGTAAACCTTAGTGAAGCCATGGCTCTTGCAAAAGCTTGCACTACAAAAAAATTGGTTTTTTGCGACGGCAAAACGCCGTCGCAAATACTCCAAACGCCGTCTCAAAAGGTTTTTTGCGACGGTCAGTGACTTTTTGCGACGGCAAGGGGGGTCGCAACAAAGGGGGTTGCAAAAGGGTTTTAGCGACGGCATAATGCCGTCGCCTTTGTTTTGCGACGGCAAATGCCTTTTTTGCGACGGAAAAATTTTGTCGCAAATAACATGTAAAAATCTGAGTTTTTTTTGAGACGGCACTGTGTTGCCGTCGCTAAAAATGTCTTTTGCGACGGCAAAAAATACTGTCGCTAAAGGTTTATTTGAGACAGCCCCTGAGCTATCGCTAATGGACTATTGGCGACGGCAATAAAACCGTCGCTAAAGGCATTACATTTCAACCAATTCCCTATCTTTTGCGACAGTAAAGGTGCCGTCGCAAAAAATCCTTATTCAATTTTTTTTTTGAGACGGTGTGTGCTGCCGTCTCAAAAAAAAAAAAAAAACTGTATTAAAATTATTAAAAATATGAAAATGACCTGTATTAAATGAAAAATAACTTTAAAAAAATCGATAATTACATAATAATATAAAAAGTCAGTATATAAATAAAATTCATCCATAATTAAAATATTGAAATGATCTCCATTTTTTTTCTTTTGTGCTGTCATACATTGTACAAGAAAAACTAACTAAACAATAATATAAAGCTAACAGAAGAAGGGCATCACTAGCATCATCTCACTAAAGTTAGTAATAAGAACATATATCTTATTCACATCTTCATGTATTGCCATGGCACAGATGATTTCAAATGAACAGAATGGAAAAACAAGGAAAAATTACAGCTCTCAACACCGCCCTCTCCACTACTTCACACTATGCACATATTCTTCCTTCAAGTCATCCGGTAGCCAATTACCAAAACCCTGAAAATAAGATTATATTAAAACTAGACTAAAACAAAAAATTTAAAATTAAAATGTGCATCCTTTGAAACCATCATTAGCTAAATTATCAAGACACACCGACAATTCTCCAAGTCACAAATCATTACACCTAAACACATCCCGCAACAGGTTGAAAACATCAAATGTTCTGAAATAAAAGCCACTACATTAATATGGCAATGATATCACAACAATTCAACTAATTGGCACTAGTACATGAAATAAATCCTACAAAACTAACCATAAAACATGCTTCTGGAATACAAGATAACATTTGATTACCATCCATGCCGTGATGAACTCAATTAAAATCCCACAACTTGATTCAGCTCAACTCAAAAAGTCTGGATTTCAAATTAAATTCCACTAAAATCATATTCAACAAATGGATAGCTTTAATTCCATGGAACAATTAGCACCACAAAACCCATTTGAATTTGGATACAACATTACTACCACTGTACTATATTAACTTTAAACATGAGATAGAATTAATACCCTTCAACCCTTACTTGGAAAACTGTTATCAACGGTATATTGTAGTATTGTTGTCTTCAAAATTCCGATTGAACACTCACTAAACTTTCCGGACTCTCAATGGACAACAATACCGCAAACAGTAAATGGTTAATGCCGAAATCTGATTTCACACCACCCCATAAATTCAAATATGATTTGAAATCTACTAGTTGTAAGGTTTAAGACAGCTTACAAAAAATTACACATTGATCACATGAAAGAAACATTAAAATATACATATGGTAATATGCGTGAAAATTGAAATGTAGTAACAATAAATTCAGGATTTGTGATTACCTGAAAAGATATTCTTTCCTTCCACTCCTCGAGGAGAAGCTGTACGTTGTAGTGATGGAAATCGATAAAGAATTATTTCCCTATATTAATTGCCAAGTGAAAAGTAAAAAAAAATAAGTACAAAAAAAAATGGTCTCATCAGTAAAAGCAAAGAAGGTGTGAAAAATGAAAACTGAGAGTTTGGAAAGAAGGCAAGGGCCCTTAAAAACCTGAGCTTCTTCTACCTCGAAGGATTTTAAAACTGACAACTATGAATTAGGAGTCCAATGAATTGAGAGCTACAAGATGTTTCATAAGAAAGCATATCATCCTTAAAAACTAGCTTCATATGGATCTACATAAAAAAAAACATGTTTGCGTCATTTAGGCCAAACTGTCAACAATGCCTTAGGAAGATTAACACAGAATAAGGAAATATAAGACTATTGGAAAGTAACATGGAAGGAGGGACAAACAGGCCTTAAATGAGAGCTACATGTTTATAAACAACTTAAGAAAAATAGCAAACTACTGGTAGCATTTTTCACAAACTCTTTGAAACTTTTAAAGTATGCCTCATTGCAAGACTAGAGCGTCCGAAACAATTCTAAAACAAAACTATCTAAAAGCATAACCCTTAAAATATTTAAGCTTCTTTACAAAATGTTTTCTGACTACCTACATGATATCAAATAGAATAACTGTCATGTAGATAATTAAAATTTAAAAAAGAACCCAACTAAAAGGGTGTTTCGTATAGGATGCTATAATCTATATGGCCAGTATCTTAATTCACTTGTCATTACAATAATCAACCCATACATCGAAAACAATCATAAAAATACCAAAATAAAATAAAAACCGATAATTCAATACA